AAACATTACTTAAAACTGACCATCCTCCAACAAAAAGCTCAATATTAAAAAATGTACGACAACAATGCAAAGTCGCCATTTCACACTTTCATCACCACTAACCTAAAGGACCCGGTTCATTGAATATGTTCCATAATATTTAGAAAAAAATCTATTACAAACAACATTTTATAAACATTTACTGTATATCATATTTTCACGAACTAATGAACCGATGCCTCAGGAAAATAAAAATTCGTCGTGTGATGCTGTATAATCTAAGAATCTTTGATAATTAAATAGTAATATACTGGACTTGATCATTACGAAAATGATCCAAACTACTTCAAAATACTGGAATATTTGGAATTCTTATGTAATAATAGTTTGCAAAACATGCCTGATGATAGACCCTTAAAGAAGATCGAAATCCGGATCGTGTCATGCTCTGAATTTAAATTCTTTATTTTAAAATTATTGAGTTATATCTTTCTTTATTTTAACTATGTCTAAGCCACAACTTCTTCAACTTTTTGGATGAGTTTTGACCTGTATGTAGTTCTTATGAAATTCTTAACATACCTGACGAGGACTCTTAAGCAAGGTCGAAATCCGGATCGTGTGATGCTCTGAATTTAAATTCTTTATTTTAAAATTATTGGATTCAAAATTTACTTTTGGATCACTTTAGACTGATACTAAGGCCACTTGATAAGTTTAAGTTAGAAACATCTGAAATAATCCTAAAATTAGGTTATCGTGGTAACTTATACACACCCACACCCACACCCTCAAGATCTCTTAGAGCGCTTATCGAAACCGGTCTTGCTAGCCTTATTTGGTTGTATTTCCAACTTATAAACGTCTCAACTTTAATTTCATTCTTAATTGTAATCGAATTAAAGTATCTTAAGACACCTGAGGAGTCCCTCTTCAACAAAGTCGAAACCGGTTATGCTCTGCTCTTCTACTTTCTATAATTTTTGAATCATTTGTATCATTACTGCCCATTTGATAAGATTTTCTAGTAAAATCGAAATACTATTTAACTAGTATCGTGATTAACTACACCAAGCCGACACCCATCTTCATTTTCTCTAGACCACTATGTACTCAGACAATTACGTTCCTTCAATGTACCAATCAAAAAAGAAATCTTAAAGATATGGTTCTCCGTTAAACACAAATATATCCCGAGAGAATGCCTAACACTCATCTCTAGTACAGAAACCGTCATGTACCTTACACAAACGTATGTCTATACTTCATTCAAGCCAATATCAATAAATCTTGAGTATGAAAACGTGAAATCTTTAAACAGAAGGAGCAAAGACCAATGGTCACTATTGAACGTCCAGAAGAAATTTTCCTAGAATTTTCATGAACTTCCAACGAGTACTATGATAGTTTGAATACGCTTGTCTTATCTTCTATTTTTATAACAGATTTTTAGAATTATTACGAATTCGTCTTAACTTCTATTATAATTTGGAGGGTACAGACTTATATAATTATAGAACTCTAAAGATACCTGTCGAGTCCCTTGAAAAAGGACGAAACATGTGTCGTATAGATCTCTGAGTTCTCCACTTGATATCACTAATTAAAATTTAATGATTTCAAATTATTATTCGGAGTTTTCTTATACGGTTTTATCTATTACTACTTCAGTATTTGGAGAGTTTTAGATATATGTACTATAGATTATAAACATACCTAATGAAGGCTGCCTATGCAACAGTCGAAACGCGTCGTGTGATGCTTTCAATCTCAAACTTCTAAATAATGATTCTTCGCATCCTGAGGTAATGTCGAGGGAATGTCACAGAACTCATAGAAATATAGCGTCGAGTTTTAACGGCTGTCGATCGGTTTAGATTGTTATATATCTTATTTGATGAGTTATTATGTTTTTTTTGTTAGGTCCTATGTGGATAGTGTTGTTTTTATATGGCACGGATGTACATTTGTAGCTTTTTATGTTGAGTAATGATCCTGTTTCTCGAGCAGTGAAAGGTTTTTCGATGGTTCACTGAGAGATACATTTTTGAAGTTAAAGGAATTCTTTGGGCTTCTATTTATATCTCGATTAGTGAAGATGGACGTAATGCCTATTTTAATTGATCATTTCGGCTCACGAGAAGAAGTTAGACTTACACTGTGAATGAAGCTGAAGCTGTGATTATTGAATAAAGCATAATATCCAATTTCGTTTGCATAAAAAAAGTTTTCTGAGCTCTGGTGAACATTCGGACAGTCTACATTTTGTTGGTTCTATAAGGCGGCCTGAAAATGAATGTGAAGCAGATAACTGATTCGTAAACCTAAGTAGCAGTTGATAAGTGCGACACTTATGAAAGCAGCAGGTGTCGTTCACTATTCTTCAAAGAATTTTTGGGCTAGTCAGAATTCATGAGTTGATGCTATTTTTTATTTTGCGTATAGATACAAACTACGGCTTTAGTAAGAGAACAAACTCTTTTTCTAGTGGCTATCGTTTCGTACAATGCATTCGAAAAGATAATCATATTGAACTCAAATAAATCAGGTAGTTTTTCAGAGACAAATATAAATTTTCTAGATTTAAGTATCATATTCATCGCTTTATCGATTAATCTTTTTGTTAATATTCAATTGATAGACGTTTCATATGCTATAAGGTATCATTGAGAAATCTTGTTATCTGATGAGATCCTTAAGCAAGATCGAAATATCGATATCACGACAGCTTGTCTCATCCTCAACCTTACCTCGACTATGTCGTAACTCTGAAGTGTTTCTTCGAGTTTAACATGAAAAAATGCTCCATAAAATCAGATTTTTATTCGTATTCGATTTGAAATCTGTTACTGAAAAGCATGAGTCGAGAGTTTCAGATTAATTTCTTTTTTCGTCAAGAGATGGCTTGATGTGCTTTCGACTCAAGTGACGGAAAATTGATTTCGTTATTCATAGATCAGTTGAGGTGCTACGCCTGGTGGCAGCATTACTTGCAAACTCTCACAGGATTTCGCTCTAAGCCAATCAAGAAATATATCCGTTGCAGCAGTTGTATATACACGGTTTTCCAGAATTGTTTCTTTGATTGTATGGTATGAGTAACATACTGTAATTTTATTATCTGAAGAGACATTTGTAGCCACTAGTAGATAAGTTGCTGATCCGGTTTTGCCAAAAGCTTTAAATTCTACCTGTTTAAATTCTGTCGCAGAAGCACCACTAAATTCAATATTGAAACAGAGTGTTTCTGTAAACTCTGCAATACCAGCAAGATGTCCTATTTTTAAGATCTGTGGTAAACCATTGATATAGCGTTTACCATCTGATACATTGTTTAATATTTTTGAACTATTAACACTAGTGTGATCTTTCTGTAAGGATCTTTGTGCCCAATGTCGTTCCACTTCGTCAACGTATGCACGTTTGACACGGAGTTCGTTAGACATCTATAAAAAAATAGTTATTGGCTTCTGTTCTGAAATGGTATGTTTAGAATAAAAATTTTCAATATTTATTTATGACATTGTACTCCTTAAAGAAAAATTCTGCGTGTTGTTTTCAGTCTACATACGATTGAGGTATAGTTAGAACCTAAGTATATTAGTTGTTTCCAAATTTAGGAAACGGTTCATTTCCATAATTTCATTGTGCCAACCCGAATAGCAGCATGTAAATGAATCAAATCATTTTCTGGTACTGCAGCAATATTTAACATAACATTTTCACTGTTCGAACGTTGTGCTGTGTAGCATAATTCTTTTGGTTGTTGTAATTTTTTGCACCAATTTGACAAAGATTCCAAGCACTCTTCAGGATGACTTAAGTGTAGACAGAAGTCTGCAATTGCTGGTATACCTTTTAAATATGCTTTGCTATGTCGTTGTCGATGCATAATGTGATAGTGCATCTCATCGTTATAAGGTGATGTAGGATGCATGCTCACTAATTTAGCTATTTGTTCCGTACTAAGGTCATGTTCTTCACCATTGATCTTTATTTGATACTCCGTGCTAATGTTTTTATGATTTGCATTTGAGTTGATCGCGTCATAGGGCAAACGAAGCTCTTCATATGCTCGCTGCATTAACCATCGCCCAGCATTCGACTCTTCGACTTGTACACTATCAGATCCACTTCTACGAGCACCGGTTCTTGATAGCTTATGTTGAGTGTGAGTTATCTGTATTGATTTGCCATCGGACATTAATTGTATTAAAAACAGAATATAGCACACATCACCATTATCATCAAGATATTCGAATCCTGTTGTAGTAGATCGCTCCAAATTTTCAACTGATTTTAACAGATTGTCGATAAATAAGTGCCCATTTTTAAAACTTTCTAGTTTCCAAATTTTGACTGTACCAGCTATAAAACGTTGCGCTTCATCCTTATTGCGAAAATTTTTAATATTATTCGTTGTCGTATACTTCCAATTTTCCGTAGAAGTCACGTCAGGATATCCTTTAGATCTGGTGGCTACAGCCATTTCAGAACCTATTTTTGTGTGATTGAAGATCTGAACAGAAAAATCAAAAGCTTTCTAGAACTTTCTCTTTTATTTTCGTATTATCATTTAGTAAAGTTTACTAATTCGACTGCCAATCTGAAATAGTATCTCATAGTCGACTAACGTCATACATAAATATTGTTCGGTAAAATAGTGCGAAGATTATTATTTATTATTTGTTCAAAATCAATTTATCGATTATTAATTTAAAAGTAAGTACAAATCTATCAGGTTTTTACTTTCATCAGTTACAATTTAGTGCTACTTTTACGTATCCTAGCATGATACTAATTTACTAAGATCGAAAAGTTTCTGTTTTATTTTCTTCGTGAATCTATCTAGTTGCCGAAGGATAACATTGTAACGATTCCTTACCTAGATCTCTATGGAATTTTATAGTAATATTATGATCTCTCAATCATACTTTGATATCATCACAACAGTGGTATGTAAATTAACATACGGTTTGATATATTTTTCAATCACAATATTGACTTCTTATCACAATAGTATTGAGAGTTCACTCTTATTCATATCTTGCCAATGAAATATCAATCTGTAAATGTGAATTTGATGGCATTACAAATAGAATGAACAGTAGTTTACTACCCAGGCAGTAAAAATTGGTAAAATAACATGTAATAACGCCTGAAAATGTGCGCTTTTTACGTTTTCAAACGCAAAAAATTTTTTTGCGGGAAAAATTACGAAGCTGACATACTATGGGCTATTTAATTTCAGTCTGAATTTGTCAAATAAAAATAATACTTGATTTCAAACTGAAACGTGAGTCTAGGAGTGAGGGAGGGGGGTGACTGGAGTCTATGGGCTTTTTTATTTCAAACTGAATTCTAAAATCAAAAAAACCGCACCAACTTCTTCCGAATCAAACTTTTCTCGTTTGATACTACGTAGTCCCACTAAAAACCCTTAGTCCCCCCTAGTCCTGCAAAGTCCCCCTTAGTCCCCCCCACAAAAAGCTTAGTCCCCGCTTAGTCCCTTGTGCAGGGGACTAAAGCCTATAGTACACAAAGCCACAAGCACACCCTCACCCTCACTCGCGCACCCACACCCGCACCATGGGTGTGGGTGTGTGTGTGGGTGCCAGACCAACACCCACACCCTCAGTCACTCCCCCCCCCTCACTCCTAGACTCACGTTTCAGTTTGAAATCAAGTATTATTTTTATTTGATAAATTCAGACTGAAATTAAATAGCCCATTGCATGTCTTCAATATGAATCAATAAGAACAATTCGATATCTCTGTTTTGTAAGAATAAACCATTCATTTATTTTAATTTTTTAATATAAAGATTGTGTTTGTAATTTTTTAAATGAAGTCAATACTATGTGCTACTGCTTCGAGAGGGAAGTTAAGCATGCTTAAACAGAATTCCAAGCGTATAATACAGTAAAAGCCATCGCGTAAGACCCTTCAGCAAGGTCGAAATCTAGATCATGGAGTACTTGACATACCTCATGACGACTGTCTCAGCATCAGTCGTAACGCGTCGTATGATGCTTGAAATCAAAAAACTCTTATATAAACACACTCAATAGCCCAGTGATGACGGTAAAGCAGGGAACAAATGTCTCATTTGCATCGACCGTTTATCCTCTATAAACATTTACTATGTACAGTATTTAAATAATCGAATGAAGAAAAAAATACTATTGTGAGTGGGAACAAATCATTTGATTGACGCTTATGCTAGAGTAATGATGACAATGGGCGAAGTGACGATCTGTCATTCTTATTCAGACTCACAATTTCCCATACTGTTGTCTCTGCTCTCCTGTTTAACCTTTCTTAAAATTCCGGACTAATGTCTTCGAATGACAATAGATGACGTATACAAGCTGTCCAATTTCAGTTCGAATATAGATGAACTTTTATGTGTTTGTATACTTCTGTGTATATACATGAATTCTAACTATAAACGACTAAAATTAAACCTTCAGAGAGGAAAAATTATGTCGGAGAGTTGTTTTCTCTTTTTGATATTCGTTTATACTAGAACTTGAATCAGTCAGGTACTCCTAATGTATCTTCTTTATGTCTTCCGAATCATTCTTCGAAATGATAATTAATAAAAGCAATCTGACCTGTACTTTAACATTGACAGAATCAAGACAATGTTTGTTAGACATCTAGCATACTTACTCTCACCTTCCTTACTGCGAAAATATGAAATCAAAATGAATGTAAAATTATTCATGCTCATGTTTACCATGAATCTTTGGTGAGAAAAAAAAGTAAGTGCGTATTTCATGAGAGGATGGTAAAGTAATTGCACGATAGTTGCTTCAAGATTTGACAGCACATAGAAACAAATATAATGAAAAAACATATTCCCGTTACTATACAGAAAAGAAAAACACGAATTACGAATTATGCTTGGTTATTTTTTTTTTTCATGGAGTTGTAGCGAGAAGAGGCAACTGTTGTCGTCCAATGAGAGAACTGTGATGTGATTTCATAGTGATCGCCTGAAGCTTCAACAACATACAGAAACAACAACTTTAAAGCAACAATTTCAAGTGCTTGTACAGAAATGAAAGAAAATGAAGGCTGACTCATTTTTAATTTTCGTTTTTTTCAAGCAACTTTGTTGAGAAGAGATCACAATTGTTGTTGTTCGATCGAAGAACGATAACGTCATTGCACGATGATGGCTTCGAGGCATCAATAGTATAAACAAAGATACTGCATGAAACATGCATATTCACGTTACTATACAGAAAAGAAAAAAAAAACATGATTTACGACTAATTCATGATGATGTTTATCACGAATTTGTTTGCACAGCAATTAACAGTCTCTATTCGCCGAAAGAATTGCAAAATAGTTGTGAAATGATTGCCTTGAACTGTCGAAAATGCACGCAAACAAATCATTATTACGTAGCAGCTTCGTGTTGCTGCGCACAGATATAATATAATGAATTTTGGATTATTATGCTGACTGAATCTTTCTCGTTGCTACGACGAAATTCTCCGAGTATTTCATTCTCAAGGAAATGATTTCTCATTAGTGATCGATTGAAAGATATTTTAATGATGCCAATATACAATAAAGTTGAAGTTGACTCGTTCAGAAGAAAAGAAGATGGTAATCATTGATAATATATCTCTGCTTTTTTCTTATTTGAAAATTTAGTAGACTTGCTTGAAAGTTTTATAGGGAATAGAACAGTTCTAATATTGTGATTTTCTTTGTTGAGCAAAAGAACTACATCATAATCCACTTCGAAAAGCTGCATGCATCTCACATATATAGATGTAATAGATCGCTCTCATAAGAGGGGCTACTGGCGCTTATTTTTTTCACAATTCATTTCTTCTATAGGACTTATCTATTTCTCGATGATTCAGTAGGATTTCGTAACTACGAAGAGGTTTTATCACAACTACACCCATACCAGCATTTGAGCATTCATGAACACGCACGCTCTCTATATACACTACAGTACTGTATGGGATTTATTCCGGAATGATAAGAAACTTATTAAAAAGTCTCAGTCAATTATAACTAGACCAATCTCGATCTTTACTGAGTTATTATGGTGACAGATTCTGTAGATTCCTCCATGCTCAAGTGCATTGACCCACTCAATCCGATCATTATCCGAAATAACATCTAAACGCATCGTATTCTTCTCAACACACCCCTATTAGAAAGACTTCTATTAGTATTCCAGTACATTCTTTGCAGTCTATCTGACACATTGCGCAAATGATTGTGCTTCGCTTGCACTTTCAAATTCGTCTCGTATTGATTCAAATGAGTATAACATAGAGACAAAAGTATCTGATAAGATACTCAAACGAGGACGAAATCTGGATCATTGCATTGCTTGACACACCACTGCTTTAAAGATACCTATCGCCTTTGATTTTGATTTTTCATATCACTTTCGTACTGTGTATAGATTATAACATATTGTTTATGATTTCTTTGAAAATTGAAATCATTTCGAACACGCATAACAGACTCATTGCAATCTGATGAGACACTTAAGCAAGGTCGAAATATCAGTCATGGGATTTCTTGATACACTATTACTTTCGGGTAATAGCAATGCAGTTTTTCGTCTTCGTGAGGAAAATGCAACAATCTGATGATCTATAGTCGTTAGACAACAGTCCAAGCGGTAATGGTTGCTCGTACCCGAACATTTTAGTTTGAGTCTCCTGACACTATTGCTTTCGGGTAATACCAGAGAAGTTTTTCGTCCTTCGTGATGAGAATTCAACCATCTGATCATGTACTGACGTCAGACAACATTGAAACTTGTAAGGGTTGCCCGTACTTATTTAAAACTCTTATCTTATACTATTCTTAATATTACATGCAAATTATTACGAAGTGAGTGTTATCTTCTCAGATTTATTGAGTGACTTTCGATTCTGTCATGTCACAAGAAATTCTAAACATACCTGATGAGTCCCTTCAGGAAAGACGAAACGTCATACGATGCTCTGCATTTCGAAAATCTTATCTTCTACATATAAAATATCACACAATTTGACGGTTGATCAAATGGTTTTATTTATACGAAGAATTACATTTCTAAGTTGATATAATATTAAGATGCCACCCGAAGAACTCCTATCAAAACAGAAAAAAACTGTTGCAGTGATTCAGAGGTTTTTCTAATTCACATCCCACACTAACTGTCACTATTTCATTAATTTGGAGAATTTTAGACTTATGTAACAATAGATTGTAAACATACCTGATGAAGCCATTAAGCAAGGACGAAACGCGTCGTACGATGCTCTGAATTTCAATTCTTGAGTTCTAAATTATACTAACTTATGTAATTATAGAATTAATAAAGCTCTCTGACGAATCCCTTGAGAAAGGACGAAACCGGTCATATTGATCGTTTGAATTCTCTAATCTTTGTTTCTACTCTTACATTCAGATATGAGTTCGATTCATTTATACTGAGAATAAATTGGAAAAACAATAGTTTCCGGTGTTTGTCTACGTGTTTCATTTTTAAACCCCTGTTAATTATAATACTATCTATTGTGTTAGGTTGTTTCCGAATGACAATGCCATTGAATATTTGAGTAGATGAGCTGTCACATCATTATTTTCTCAGAAAACCCTTTCCTTGACCTAAAAAAAGTCAACTTCAAAATTTTTCAAATCTGATTTCAGATTCGGATTCCCCGACCCCGATTTACTTTCGTCAACCTTTATAAAATATCGTTAGTTTCTCAGAAAACCCTTTCCTTGACCCAAAAAACTCGACTTCAAAATTTTTCAAATCTGATTTCAGATTCGGATTCCTTGACCTCGATTTACTTTCGTCAACCTTTATAAAATATCGTTAGTTTCTCAGAAAACCCTTTCCTTGACCTAAAAAAAGTCAACTTCAAAATTTTTGAAATCTGATTTCAGATTCGGATTCCCCGACCCCGATTTACTTTCGTCAACCTTTATAAAATATCGTTAGTTTTTCAGAAAACCCTTTCCTTGACCCAAAAAAAGTCAACTTCAAAATTTGTGAAATCTGATTTCAGATTCGGATTCCTCGACCTCGATTTACTTTCGTCAACCTTTATAAAATATCGTTAGTTTCTCAGAAAACCCTTTCCTTGACCCAAAAAACTCGACTTCAAAATTTTTCAAATCTGATTTCAGATTCGAATTCCTCGACCTCCATTTACTTTCGTCAACCTTTATAAAATATCGTTAGTTTCTCAGAAAACCCTTTCCTTGACCTAAAAAAAGTCAACTTCAAAATTTTTGAAATCTGATTTCAGATTCGGATTCCTCGACCTCGATTTACTTTCGTCAACCTTTATAAAATATCGTTAGTTTTTCAGAAAACCCTAACACAGCCCTAACCAAAATCTAAACATGTAGGATGTCAAAAAATAGGAACGAGGAGCATGGCCTCCCCCCCTTAGATCGGTGAATTTTCAAGGATCTCTGAGGAGGAGGCCTAGGGGGGGTAAGGGGCCGTAACACAATTCAGGCTGACCCATCATTACTGTGTTACGGCATGTACCGAATGGTTATGATTTTTTAATGACTTATTTTTTTCTCGGGGGTAGATTCGAACATCACCAACACAGCCCTAACCAAAATCGAAACATGTAAGATGGCAAAAAATAGGAACTAGGAGCATGGCCTCCCCCCTTAGGTCGGTGAATTCTCAAGGATCTCTGAGGAGGAGGCCTAGGGGGGAGGGGGGGGGGGGGGTAAGAGGCCGTAACACAAGTGATATATAGACTATGCTGTGGTCTGTTCCAAAATACAGTGATATATAGACTATGCCGTGCTCTGTCCCTATATACAGTGATATATAGACTATGCTGTGGTCTGTCCC